TTGAACTTCATATACTTTCACGGGTTTATTACGAGTCAACTTAACGGCCTGCTCCCAGTTGGCTTGTTAGCTCATTGGTAGAGCGCTGCACTAGTATCGCAGAGGTCAGTGGTTCGAGTCCCGTACAGGCCTGATTTTTTTCAGGTCTGATTTTCGCTATCGCATAAATAGCGCTATCTACTGCGAGGATCGTACATCATACGTAAAAAGTGAATTGACCGTTATCAAAATTAAATTAGTAAAAATGTCATTTAGGATTTCTAGAACAGCGTGTTGTGTACTATGCTTACTGCGGAATCCATATTGTGATGAATATAATATATTGTGTTTATTGACAAACTTAACAAGTCTTCTATAAACCAGCTTTTCAAATATTCTGTTAAAAATTGATAACAAAGAGGTTGGTCGATAATTTACAGGCTTAGATGCATCTGCTGATTAAAGACTGGAACTTCTTTGGCGGTTTTAAGTTTGGCTGGGAAAGGACCTGAGGATTCTGAAACATTAAAAATTTGAGCTAAATATTGGGAGATAATATCGCTAGACAATTTCAAGATACTGGCCGGGCATGAATAGAGTCCATAGGCTTTGTTATTTGGTAATAGATTGATTTTAGCTACAACGTCCGCGGGAACAAAAGGGTCAATAATAAAAGGAACTTTCTATTGGTGGGTCTAAGAAAGTACTGAAATCATAATCCAGCGACGAAGAAGGGATACACGAGGCCACTTATGTCCAACATTTGCAAAGAAAGTGTTAAGATAATTACTTATTTCCTTTGGGTTGAATATCGTTTCTGAGTCGGCGTTAACAAGGTGGTGCATTGACGATTAATACTATTAGTCTTTCTTGAAATGATATCATCTATACCTCTCCACGCTACCTTTGGAGTTGTTAATATTTTCTTCAAAATAACGTTCATAATAATTCTTCTTGCTTAAACGCGTTAGGCTAGTTAATTTTTCTCGGTATACTTTATAGTTCTCCCAATCAGCATTAAAAAATAAATTATTTTTTATTCGTACTGAAGTTCGATTTCCTTTGGTGATCCATGGTTTTGATAATATTTTTTTCCCTGCGCCTGGAGAGGGTTTTCATTAGAGCATGCTTATATACCAAGGAGTTTATTTTATTGTAAAAAGTTGTGAATGATTTGTTTACGTCAATGTTTGAAATATTATCCCGTTCTGTTTCTTGCAGTTCAGAAAGAAACCTATTAGCATTGAAGTTGAAGTAGTCGCGAACTTTTTTCCGGCCTTTGTTTCGAGTGTTTCAATGAATAAGGTTGTGTGGTCACAATACAGACCTGGGTAAAATGATCCGTAGTGTCGGTTACTATGTTACCGCATATAAAGCTGTTTTCTAAATTATTTGAAAAAATATTATCGATTAACGTAGCTGACTTTCTATAAACCCTCGTAGGCTTATCGACAGCTGGTAATAGCGAAAAGCTTTGCGTTAATTCTAGCAGTTCTTTAGAGTAAGAGCAAGATTCAAATTTAAGAAGGTCAATGTTAAAGTCACCCATTGAATAAATGTTTCTATTTCTCGAGGAATGTAATTCTATTTCAGAGGAAAGATATTTAAGGAAATCATCGGCCTTGTCATGCTGTCTATAAACCACACCACAAATACACTTTTTCTTATTTACACCGGTAATTTCGACTCAAAAAGCTTGATAAGAAGAATTAGAAGTACGCTCGAGAACATTATATTGCAATTGGTTGTTGATATACATTCCTATACCACCTGCGGAAAGAGAAGTTGTTACATACTCCAAATAGTAATTTGGTAAGCTTGCAAGATTTTCATCACAAGCGTCATCACGAATTCGGATTTCGGATAGTCCGATAATGCCAAAGTTTACTCAGAAATCACATACTGATGGAACTGTTCGAAATTTCTTTTAAGGCTTCTTATATCACTGTGCAGAATAGAGATGAAACTCCGATGATTTTGGTTCATTTTACTTTTAGTAGTCTCAGCAAAGGTATGTGGTGCAAAATAAAGGGATCGCAATCTTGGTTCTAATAAGTTAAAGTCTGGGTCGATGTTTGCATTAAATGAATTCATATTTAAAATATCAAAATCGTAAATACTATGCAAGGTCTCTAGGGTCTTCTTTGAATGCAGATTATCACCAAGAAGGTTGTTAAATCTACCATGAATGGAGGGAATATCTTTGCAATTATACTAAGGCAAATGTGTTAAGTTTTCGTTCAGATTGTTTTTCTTTTTACAAAAAGTCATATTTTCCAAGTTCGACAATATATGTATGAAATAAATAATAATATCGGATACTTAGCTCAGAGAACAAACAAAAAGAGAACCATTCAATCCCAAAAGAGACAAAGTCTGGAAAACTGAATACGATTTGACCAAATCAAACTCAGTTTAACTTGGTTTCGAGTCGTGCTTGTTAAGTGGTCCTTTTTTTCCTTTTTTTATCTCAAGTTGTTATACAGTCAATGTTAATAGTTTTACCATAAATTCACAAACTGATTTAACATTGTGGTTCCAATTTTCTCTTGGTTGAACTAGTGCGGTTACGCTTTTTCTACAACTTACGTCCATTATCATGATATGAGACAGGTTTAAAGTTTTAAACCGGTGGTTTGACAATTGATTTTGAACCACAAGAATATTATATAAGGATACAAGAAATCGAAAACAGCTCACCGGGGCTGAATGTGTGTGTAGGTTAACAGAGGAAAATAAAAAACAGAAAATAATTCTATAGAAAGTGAATATTTATATGTATAACTATATGAGGTTACACAGGTAACTTTTGTTCAAAATAGTCTGTCATGATCAGTTTTTGCGTCTTGTTTCTCTACCTCACCGAAATAGATGGAGGCCCTCAGGAAATGGAAATTGTGCAAAAGAATCCAACGAGGAGGGTTTTGACAGTAAGTCTCGATCTCATTAATCCTAACAATTATTTTTATGATTCCTTTACTGGCTTTCTTATCAACTGATAAAACCAGCCAATCAAATAATCAACAAGACAAGAGCAAACACACTCTCCAAGGGATGAAAAAAACCACTAGAGGAAAAGAAATAGATGTGCCGGGAAACAAGAAACAAAATTCAGTTCCAAACCAGCAAAAGCGTGAAGCTGTGGATAGGTGCTCTACTCCTTATGGATTCTTTCACAACACCAGCAGAGTTCATATGGAAAAAAAGCAACGCTTTACGCTCAAAGCAATCGTAAAATATTATATTCATTAATGCCATTGTCATAATTTTCTTTAGATTTTGAGATGATAGGCAGTGAAAAACTTGACCGTGAACAAATAGTAACTGTAAAAGTTCTTGGGAGTGGAAATTTTGGTCAAGTTTGCAAGGCATTTTATGTACCCAGGAACGCTGATGTCGCAGTGAAGTCACTAAAAGGTACTTTAACCCTCTTTGCTTATGACATGGTAAAAGGTTTCCGTATGATATTTAACAGCTGGAATAGTGAACGGTTCACCAAGTCTTTCAAATAAAACTGTTGATTCTTGTCCAGGGGTCCATTTCTCGAAGGTTCCGAAGCCATATTTTAAAATAAAAATTTAGAGAATAAAGAAGCAGCTTCTGACATTCTAACAAGTCCATTTTTTTTTTAGCTGATAGTTTTATTGATTCTTTTCATAACCCCATTTTCAACGAAAACAAAACAGCTTTACAGGCCCACTAATTAGCCGGGACCCTCAAGAAACAGGCCACAGGACCGTTCAAGATGCGAAAAGAATCTCTATGGACATTCTTTTCTGATCCTTGCTATTTAATTCAGATGTTCAAATTTATTCTAGATGATGCCACACCGAAGGATAAGCAAGACTTTCACTCTGAGTTGAACCTCATGAAATCCTTGGTGCCTCATTCACATGTGGTAAAGCTATACGGCTATTGTGTTGAAAAAGGTAAATCTTAATGATTAATTGATTTGTGCGTCTGCCGATTAAGTGATAATCTGATTTATCGATTGATGAGTCGATGGACTGAACGAAAACAACCTGCCTAAAGCTTTTATCCGATTTCAGTTCCCCATCTCATAGTTTTGGAGTATTTGCCGTATGGTGATTTGTTGGGGTACCTACGTAAGAGCAGAGGAATTGAAGACAGTCAGCACACAGGGGAAAAAGAACCAATCTTGAAACTCAGTGAAAAAGACCTGTTGTCCTTTGCATGGATGATTGCTGATGGCATGAATTATCTGTCATCAATGAAGGTACACTAAACGATACAGCTCTTTTAAAATCTAGAAACCTAGATACACCGAGAGATAAAGACAACTGAAGAACTACAAATCACTTTGCGCGCAATATATTTCCTTGTAATACCTCTTTAAATGTTGAAAAAATGAAAACAAAACAAAATGAAAAAGCAGCGATTTTATTTTTAAAAAAGAGTATCGAAATAACATTGTCATGCTGTGTTTCAGATTGTGCATCGTGATTTAGCGGCTAGAAATGTGTTAGTTGGGGAGAACAAAGTGTGTAAGATTTCAGACTTTGGTTTAGCTCGTCGTTTGGAGGGAGATATCTACACAACAAAAAGTGAGGTGAGCATGGAACAAATGTTTCTCCCCATAACTGTTACAGTAAAATTTTTGCTAACCTGTTGCTTTTCTCTTTCGTACCAAAATACTCTTTAAATTCATAATTTTCTATTTTTTTTTTGTGCACTATGTTTTTTTTAATCACATCTTAAATATTCCACAATTTTTAAGGCCCTTCTTCCAATTAAGTGGATGCCTCCAGAGTCACTTGTCAATGGAATATCCTCTACTATGAGTGACGTGTAAGTTGTTTGATTTATCTACATCCGACTTGAGTTTTAAACTTTTTAGCCTCAGATTCTCAGCTGTTCGTTTGCTTCATAAAATCAGTTCCTATGGTAACGAAATAATACGATATCATTTTTCAATACAAGATGAACTGTTTTGAAAAATGTGGCTTATAAATTGTCTCGCAGTTACATCAGAACATCCAATCTTATCACAGTGCACAGTGGTAGAGCTAAAATAGAAACCACCAATACGATTATGATTAAGATCATGTATCTAACATTCCTCTCTCCTGCAGATGGTCTTATGGCATTGTGATGTGGGAGGTGTTTACAGTCGGTATGCAGATTATATTGAAGAGAAAATTAAGGCTACTGAACAGAAAAAAACGCTCTTCTTATTAATTTTGTTTCACATACTACTTGCGAGAAATGATGTTGACAGTTGAAGTCTTCATCGCCAATTATATTTATACTTCTTTGAGTTTTCCGGAAAGAACCCTAGTAGATAATAATGATATATATCATTATCATGCATTTATACCCAGCTAGAAGGAAACGAGAAATAATTTTTCTATCTCACAGAATACTATTTCGACGTATTCTATGGCCGCTTCATTTGATTTCCTACCTGATAAATCGTACTTCATAAAACAAAAACCAGCCAAGGCTTTAAATGACGGCTCATATAATATTTTTTAGCATCTCACACTTAAAAAAAGTCTATTAAATGTATATCAGCTATGTCTAAGTCTATTAAATGTATATCAGCTATGTTATGTCGTAAATCGTTGCAGGCGAATCACCTTATCCTAAGATAGGATCTCGAAAGGTAAAAGACCTGCTGCGGGAAGGATACCGTATGCCCAGGCCCGAGCACATCTCACAAGAACTGTGAGTTGAGTTATTGATTGTACTCTATCATCCTCCAAATAAAATGCAACCATATTTGGTGCGGTCATCCAGTTTAGTATGAATACAGTAGGAGATCTGAGCGATAACTATCATCCAAATTGTTTTCAACTCAGATAGCATTCTCGTAAATGTCTCCGAAGAACAAAAAATAATTAAACTATTTCATGTAACCTTTGATCTCTTTTAAAAATTACGATAGGTGTCAACTTCACAAAAATTTAGTGTTGGTGATTTTACTGTAGGTATTCCATTATGTCCGAGTGTTGGGAAGATGATCCCAAAAAGAGGCCAACATTCCCATGGCTTTGTGCTGCGGTCAAAAGACTTCTGAATGACCACAAGGTTTGTTTGCAAGTATTTCTCGCCAAGTTTGTCTTTTTTCTGTCATTTTTGCTTCACAACCATTTCTCCTACTAATCTTTAGTTAGGACGTTTCTTTACCTGTGAAGTTTTTTTCTTCTAACAGAAGTTGTGCGGGAAGAGGGGAAGACAAGAGTAGGCTAGACTCTTCACTCTCATAGCGCGTGGGTTCTAATATGTTTTTAATTGGACTATTAGAGAAGGAGGGGGTGTATCAAAGTTGATAGATAGCCCATGAGAATTATTTCTTGACATCCTACTGAAAAAAAATTCAATATTGGTAATCTTTGAAGTATCCTTTAACATATTGTTCTCCTTTATCTAATCTCTACTTCAGATATATGTGAACTTGGAAGTCTACGACGGCACGAACTACGTTAACTTTGATATGATGATGGATTATGAGTGATAAAAACTTTTCGATTTTTACGATAAATTCAGGATGGCGGTTCAGTCCAGCAACACAAACTTCATTGAAGACTCAACCTCCCAACTATGTTCACATATCCATAAGTGCTTTGAATAACAAAAATATAGGACCCTGGTTACTGGTTGCCAGATATTTCAATTTGCTGTCCCACTTTCCAGATTATTGCTTATGGCCCAATGAAATATATACATGTATTAACTTTGTTTATTACCTAGCGTTTGTAATATAGTTGCAATAAGGTTCAATTAAAGCTTTGGAATACAAAGTCAGTCTCACGTTTTAAAAATGAAATTAGTAGACATAAGTTGTTTAACAAGATGGTAGGAAACGTCTCATAGCATGACTCTCGAAAGATCGCCTGACGATCACTGCCGAATACAAGATCAAACAACATCAGTTTCTCGAGAAAAATAATAAATTAGGTTTTTTTTCTTGACAATGAAGCTTGCTCTCGTTTTACTCGACTGCAAGCTAATGTGACTGGAACTTATTTTCATGGATGTCTTACATTGGCAACTAGTCTCGCTTTGACTAATAAGTTGTGGAGTTTTCTTTAACTCGATTCAAAATACTGTTATGTTTAGTTTGGTTTAATTTAAGGTTTAATTACTTTTAATATCCATCATTTTCCCGGTCCGCTGAATAGACGCACACAGCAAACATACCTTGAGACTTCATTTTATTCGGCAGGCTGTTGAATTCATTCAATCGAGTACAATACCTTACGAATTCAAAATGCCTCTATTAGGTCTATTGTAGTAGAAGTAGTATTAATTGCAGTAGTCTGTATTCCTTCACATTAAGAACTCAATTGTATATCTTATGTTACAAAGTAAAACATTAAAGCGTTGTAAAAGGGTGATGAAAAGCTGAGGTAGCATTTTTTCAACAAAGTCAATGCGGCGAAGAGCTTTGGATGGACAGTGTCTAAATTACCTTAAATTGTAACTTGCGCACCTGGTTTTTCACCCAGTTCTGAGTATCTACGAGCAAGCCTGCGGTATATTTTTTGGCGCTCATGCCGCAGACCAAACTTATTACAGGCTCAAAGGGTTGGTTGTCACCCTTACGTCTTATTTTATTCATTAAGTCCATACCTATATGAAAGAAACTGAAAACAGCCATTGTTAGTTTCGAAACGCGTTTTTCGTGTACATTTCTGTTGTTTGTTCCAGTCTAATATCTCTCCGTTGGTTAATGATTTTCTCTTAATAAGTTTAGTATTTCAATCAGTTTTATTTAAGTACGTACACCAGATGTTACGTTTCATACTGCATCGCTTGTCATTGCTATAAGTTGCCGTCGACACGACCAATTTCATCTGCTATTAGCGAGCTATCTACAATCAGGAGCTATACCAAAGTAAGTTTCCTTTCATTTCACTGTTAAGATATTTCCCTTCGTTTGGTTTGCGCTTTGGTTTATTTCTCGCTTTCAATTCACTTTATAATCGCTTCATCGTTATTTAGGCTAATGTAACATTTCTCAGAGATACTTTCTAAGTTTAGCTTCTTCTGTATTTTCTTTTAGTTCAAACCACACACGCACACACAGACAGAGTCACGCACTCAATTCAGCCACTTAAATTCAGCTACAGCCATCAATCTTTACTACGCTACCTTCAAGCTATACTTCGCCGCTTTGATCTGTGATTCCACACCGATACCTTTATTCTCGTTTGCATTTTGATTATGATCCTCGTTTAAATAAACCGTGATTTACATTGTGCGTTCGTATTGTCTACTCCCCTATACTAGTAATCTTCGGAAAGATTTTTTTCTGGATTTCTCACCATTAACTCACGCAGATAAAAACACAAATTCGGGCGACAAGAAGTTGAAGAATATAGCATGGATACTTAACTTATAAAGTTTAGAATGCACAGGGTATTTATGAAAATACATATCCTAGTTTTTGGAAATATTTTGGCAGTTTCAGATTCAACCAAAGTAAATTATTCTCCACGCCTCGCTGTTAATTCACCATAACCACGACTGTTGTGTACCCATTTCAGACCACGTGACCAAGCTATGACGTAGAAGCTAAAAGACCTTTTGCCCCACCTCAGTCGGCTTACCTCACACGGTAAAATTGTTTTTAAGGATAGTACATTTCATAACCTTTCCATTGATGTATAGTTTATGGAAGTTACGCCGCAAATATAGCGGTAACACTTTTTTTTTGCCGAAGGACATCTGCGAAGGTCTATCTTATCCTTAACAAGCTTTTCATCCTTTGGGAAGCCGTGGAATGAGAATTCATCAGTCATTAACTTATTTTTAAAATCGCAAGTAGTAGTAATGAGCCATTATTGTTGTATTTCGACAACTGTAGTAAATAAAACTATATAATTTACAGGCGACGAAATACCACGACTGCACGCACAACAAGAGTATTCCTTGTTTACTCCCCCGGCTACAGCCCACGTGACGGCACCGTGGCGTAACGGCGAATAATGCTTACCTAAACATTCTGTGCCTTCAGCGCATATTGTGTCTATTTTTATTTTTATGAACCGAGGTCCATCTAGTTACTTGTACTTATCCGAAGCAATTAAGTAGGGCATACTGGCCGTCAGTCCCTTTGTAAGGGTTCATTTAAAGACTAGCGCTATTGATCCATTTGTAAAACGTGAGTACAGTTCTTTTTTCAGCAATTAGTCAGTAATAATGGATTCGTGCCATAAACATAACTGCGTGTAAACAAGAGCTTGGAATATAATTCTAATTGGTATACGATTTTACCGCTTTCTTTGGTTAAATGATTGTGAAAGACCCTTTCATAGTTCTGTGCTTACAGCATAGCCAAGTTTAGATTACGTTTGTTCAATCAGTAACTTTGGATGAGGGCAAAGTCAGCCTTATGATCAGAGCAGCCTTTCGAGAAATTTTCCTTCGGAATGTGATCAGACATGTACAATTAGATCTAAGCTAATTATAAACCCAATCGCGAGCACACTGAATGAGAACACAACGTCTATTATCGGAATCAGCACCTGGCCGTTATAATAATGACACCTATTCGTCTCCATTTAGAAAACTACTTCAACATTATGTTTGCATAAGACTTGCCATCGAGCAAAGCAAGCTGTGAAATATCATACCTTGAGTCATTCAACCGAATGATGGAACTAAGGAATGGTGTGGATAGATGGAATTGTGGAATATCTTAAGACGCGGGATGACGGAATATCCTAACATGCGGAACGCCTTTTTTATGAAACAGAAGTCTCAAAGAATGGAATCTTATATAATACGAAAATGATTTATAATCAACAGGCGAAATTAAAGGAAGCATTGGTAATCATTCTTGGAGCCCAGAGGATTGGGAAACCAGGAAGCTTTCGACTTAGCCTCTTAACATTATCATTTTCATACTACTGTTATTACTATTTTCATCGTTGTTAATACTATTATTTGTTACCATTTAATTATCGGTTGTTTTTCGTTTAAACAATATATTCTTGAATCATCCTCTAGTGGAACAGGGTACTCATAAATATGTGGGAATGCCGGAGGTTTTTCGTTTTGCATACGAGACAAATATTCTGCTGCACTTCCTTCTAACGTTATTATACAACACCTAGTTCTTTTTAATCGTATAAAAATTGTGCTTTATCCTTAAACACATTGAAAACTTTATTTCCAGCCTTGACAAGTCTTATACGACAAAAGATGACGTAATCTCTTTTATTTTTTGCCCAAGAACTATTAGTGGCCTGTTTTGTGACTTTTATTGATTAATGTCCTGTCAAAACCTAACCGCAACCTTTCGATAAAAATATGTAAATTTTCAAAGCAATAACATATAGCCAGAAGTTTATAACTTTTATATAAGCACTTAAGATGTTTCACAACGAACTGACAGCCATTTCAACAACTTATAGAACTCTAAGAAGGTTTGTCTTGCGGTCGGATTGTGCTACAAAGTGTCCGGGTTGGCCGAACAGCTGATACAGCAAAATATACCTTGGTTTCCTCCCTAGAATTTGTTCATGGATTCTGTTATTGAGCATTAATTATTCATAACCAATAAAGCGTAAATTTGAACGCGACCTCGCTATGATGAACCCTAAATTAGAGGAGAATGGGCCGAAGTTGGCCAATTAAGCTCAGTAAAACTGACTTTTCTGAGTTTTGTAGGTGCTAACTTTTTTATCAAGTTTTTGAAGATTAAATATGTACCGAAAATTTGCACCTAAAATGAAGGACATTACGAAGTAGAGGAATTATCCTTCTGCACTTGAAAGATCCGTTAAAAATGGCGCGTTTCGAGCGATCGAGCCAGTGTTTGAGCCCACACATGAATAACAATACATCCGGTCAAACTAAGCAATGCCCATCGTGGAATCAACAACACTTGTTGATTTATTCACAATCGCTACGAATCTTAAAATCTTTCGGTGCTGTTACCCCTTGCCTTGACTGACTGTACCAAAAATTTTAGTGATGGGAGCACTTGTCGTAGTTTTTTGAAACAAGTCAAGAGTTAGAGTCAAAAGGAGCTTCAGTCGAGCTTTTCAGTGATGTTACTAAACCGTTGTCACAGACTTTATGGTCGGGGAGAATTCGAGTGGGAGATAGCTAACGACAGCTAAATCTCGCTTTGTTTCTATCGACCCTCAAATAAAATGTTGAAACCCTTTATTTTACAGCTCAAGGACTGACACATGCAAAATAGATAACTGGTTACTTGCAATGTTCACTCTTCCTATGATTGTAACCTTTTCATCAGAGGATCAAGGTACGGAATAAATGCTTTTGACGTTAGGGTAAACCATATTTGGCTATGAGCTAATTATGGCTGGCGTGCAGTTTTTGTCCTGTAAAGCACTTTTTATGGGCGTATTTATTAAACTGACCACGTTTGCTCTCTAAAGTCATTTTAGAAAGACAGCCAACACCATCAAACACCTGGTTATGGAATCCATCGAAGCCGTCATCAGCAGCTGGCTGACCTTCTGGGGTAAGATCTCATATTTCAACTACTTTCTGTTTTGTGAACCGGTTCGGCCGCAAGAATATTGAGTTGACTGATTAAATGCATCTCAAATGTTGGTTTAAAAGCATTTTGTTACTGCTTGACACGAGGTTAAAAAATCTGGTTCCTCTAAAGTAACTATGCTTTGAACGCCAGAAATAATCTGACAGATCTCAGAGTACTTTGTTCAGGCTTTGCATCCTGCAACCATTCTCTGCTCAGTACTTAGAATGCTAATGCTGATCTGTCCTTCAAAAGTAAATCAAGAGTTGGAAACTAAACAGGAATTTATCATTCTTTTCCATCGTATCGGAAACATGATAATTTCAAATTCTTTGTCTTCTTTTCTTTTTTGATTTGAAATTCAAAGCAAAGCTCTCGGTATCAATAAAAAAGAAATTTCTTTCGCTTGGTCTTTCTGGCCCTTCTTCCTTACTTGCAAAAAATTGAGACTGTCAATGAAAATAAATCAACTTCAAGGGTTCGCTCATTATCCAAAATCCATTGTTTCAAATTGACATTTTTATTTAAAATTAATTTGGTAGGACAAAGCGTGACCAACTGTACAAAATATTAGTGCTCTGGTCAGTCAATATAGTTTCCACAATCCTAAACATAAATGAGCAGTGTTAGCTGCCAAATACGATAGTCCTTGTTATACCCCCGCACTCCCCCCCCCTCAAAAACAAAAGGGCATTCTTCCTTCCACTTGCACAGAAACTGATTGCAACAAATTTTGGAATAGTTTAAGACATTAAAAATTATTTTTAGTCAGCACTATTTCGAAGGAAAAGAAGACGCAGGTGGTGAAAAACAATCTAAATCTTTGAGACTTTTAACTGGTACAGGTGTAACCCTAAGGCATCCCTATTTATTTTAATTTTACCAATTTTCTAAGGTTTTTTTTCTAAATTTAATTTCCCTGCTAGAGAGTTCAAACATGCTCTTAATGTGGTCATTCGATACATTAAAATACTGTCCTCCGCAGTAATACGGATAGATTTTAATTTTCTATACTACATACGCAAATACGAAAGAAAGTTAGTTGTACAGTTTTTGCCCCCAATCATTTAGCAGATGATCTGAACCCACGAGTAAAAATTCGACCATGTTCACAACCGGAACTGCTGCTAAATTGGTCGGTCTTAATTGAATTTGGACTCAACCATTGCAAAATGGCCTTTTCAAGGGGACTGAGCAAATTAAGCTCATCTTTAACCACTACATGATTTAATCATTAGAACTGGTTCTTTCGCTTTAGCTGTCTGGATAAATTTAAACTACTTACCCTTCAGACTCATTCAAGAGAAAAAACTCCATTAGATTGCCCACTTGATTTACAAATTACAAATTACAAATTACAAATAGGTTAATTGACCACTTCCTATAGGGCTTTTCAGAGCCGATTAAGGTTGAGATCGGACGTCAGCATTATCAGGCGCCTCTGGCAGCCGCTTCAGTCCATGTAACGATCTCACCTTCCCACCCATCCCACCCCAGGGGTGGACATCCACCACACAGTAATGTCGTGAGTGGGAAGTTAACGTCTTTTACCCCTAACCCTGCAGGAGACGGGGCCTACGGTTTATTTCCTCCTTATTCGAGAAGACTAGAATATCTATCCATTTCTTGATATTATAGAAAAGTAGCAAATTCTCCAGTTATTTTAAGACTACGAGTATTGGTCTGGCCGGGGCTCGAACCCTCGACTTTCCGCACAACACAATCCAGCGCTCTAACCAATTGAGCTTAAGTATAAAACGATGTTCTGTTCGTTCCCAAACGAAATTCAAGCTAGAACCACCAAACTCTCCTCTGACGCGCCAAATCCGTCAAGCGTGCACACTAATATTGCTGCTGTGTCCTTCAGACCAGGAAAAAGATTAGACATGCGCATAAGGTCTTCAAATGGCTAAATCATGGTTTGTCCCACGTCAAATTTCGAAATAAAATAGGAAATATGGCGAACACGAGCTCGGTAACGACGACATAGAGAAAGTATGATCATGAGAAAGAAAAAACACCTTTCTCTAAGGATTGTGTATCTTGAAAACCCTTTAGCTAAATTTTCTAGTTCCTTAGCCATCTTTGTTTCTTTTTTCGTCCTAATCTTCCTAATTTGTTGTTGTTGTCTTTTTTTTCAAAAGCAGCCCATACTGAGATATAAGCAAAAGCATTATCGTACGAAAACCCGAATTGTTCTCAGCATAAGTAATAAAATGGTGGAAACTTTTACTTTAAAAAATGTTATCGACTGATACCTCTTTAGTTTATTACGAGCGTAAGATTAAAAGAAACAGTATGCGAATTTAACAGGATCAATATCCACATGATTACGTGAAAATTCCAGTTGAAATGAAGACTTTTTTAATAGGTAGTAATTAGGAAAGTGACATGTTTGTGATATGAAGGACTTGTATCATAAACGGAGGTTATGAGTGATGGCAAAGTGCTCGGCCTCCGTCGCCAGTTACTGCATATAGAAAAGGCTCCGCTCATTCGTCTTTCACCATTGCCAGAAATTTGGGTCAAAATGCTGGACGCGCGTGCGTATTGAGAAGTTAATGGCGGCGAAATCGTGTAAGGAAATGTATCGGATTTCCACAAAAATCCAAAATATCACAAATGCGAGTAAGATTAGCTCCGACTCGAAAAATGTTCAGTAGAGATTAAGCTGTACTTCTAACATAAAATAATGCAAAAGCTGTTTGTCTACTTACTTCCAGCAAAGTCAGCAATGTTCGATATTCGAGGCTACGCATTATCTCTAGTCTGTTTCAAATATAGAGTAATCCATGGCAAAGCTTAAGGATCGCGGATTTGAGGAGCAACCCTCCAGGGAGTCAACTAGCTCCGACTCGCATTAAATAAAGGGACGTTCGAAGTAAGCAAATCGTCTATAAAAAGAGACATTTCTTGACAATGAGATACTTCCAAAAGAGCTTGAAAATTGCTATTTTTGCTCTGTGGAGTCTGTGATCTGAGACCATCCTTGAGAACGCACCAGAAGGGAAAGCGCTAAAAGAAAAACCCTCTGCGAAACCTTCAAACTTTCGCCATATCTTTTTTTCTAATTCAGCAATGTTTGACGGGAAATAAACTCAATCCAGACCCCCTCATACTAAAGTAGAGCCTGGAATAAAAATTTTCTCGCGCGAAAATTAAGAATCAGATCAGAGAGATCTGTGTCAGTACGTTCGTTGAACTGTGTTTTGAACTGGAAAAAAAAGCCCTTTTCGAGTACGATTTGCCTAGATCTTCCCATTATTTAATGCAAGTGGTTTAAGCTACAATTTTCAAAATGTCTGACATCTTAGACGATTACAAAAAAAAAGCCAGTTTGAGTTGACATTGAAGCTTAGTACAGAGTGTCCCTTGCATTACATCAGACAGCAAATTGCTATAAGTCGCTCTGCCTTAAAAATACCAAGAGATCAGTTCAAAGTTGTTTTTCTTTTGCTTTTTTCTCCATAAAGAAGGTCCACAGAACTTAAATCGTTCAATATTTTATATGGAATTTGTCTTGACCGCCATCTTTGTTTTCATCCGACTGCAATCCGCTGACCAATGAATGCGGGAGCAAAATGTCCTCGATTTCTGGCGATGTGTTCATGTATTTCTTTCCATGGT